GTTGTCGTAGAATTCTACTTCCGAGAGGCAACCATTTTAGTATTTGTCGCATTCGAAACGAACAATCCTTTTTTTCTTTTCTCTTCTGCTTCGCAAGTAAAAAATGTAGGATGCTTTTTTAATATTACTTTACCTTTTGTTTGCACAATATCGTTACTTCTCTCCACGTGTCTTTCGTACGAAGCAACAAAACAAAGATTTCATGAAATTGCGAGTAAGAAATTTATATGTAGGTGAAACTGAATCTGTTGAACATCCATATCTTTTGTTATAGAGATCAAGCATTTACTCAGACGTGAAATTAAGTTAAGATTCATTTTTTAAATCTCAATTTCGATGACGAATACTCAACAGTCATCATTTCATTTTGTACCTTGAAATGTTAACGAATCAGTTTATGATTAATATTAAGTTAAAGGTTCTCTACTTAACACTTAATTGACATAAAGTTTAGTTTAAATGATTGCGTTAGGCAAATATAATTGAATTCAAAATTTTTCTTTATTCCCGTACATCATTAGCATGACGTTATCTAATTTATTTAAGAGTGAACCTCCCTGCTAACCATTTGATCATACAAAACAACAACAGAATATTCGCTCGAGTTAATCATCTAAACTTAATTTTGAGTGTATTAAGAGTTTAGTAGAAAATCTTATTCACATATATTAATATTTTAAAGACGAGAACAATATTTTTCTTCCTGTCGTCATCTATTTCATAATAGTTGATCTTTGAGTATGAAAAGGTTTTTTTCAATGAACACATGAGCAATGAAAACCTATTGGTTGTTGTCACTTTTGTTTTGGGTTTTCATAGTCTCTATGAGATTTGTTTAATTTTCATGATAGAAATAAAAGGATATTTGAAAAATAAGAGTAATATCTCTTTGCCTATTCACTTATAACTTTTCATCTTTAATCGACAGAAACAAGATGAAAATATCAACTAGATAACTAGATAGAAATTTCGAATATTTCACCCGGAAGTACTTTTGTTTTTCAATTTATACGTCTTAAATAGCATATCTACTTGAGACATGGTCAAGTCTAAAACATTAATCTACGCCTCTCCAAACAGATAGCCAAATCTCAATTTCATACCCATATACTAAATTCTTACCTGAAATCACAATTGATGCAATTTGGGCCAGTGCTGGTTTCGTTAGAACAAAACAAATCAACTCAAGTTTATTCGAATGAAATTCTGTATTTCTTCACAACGAAACATTGATTGATTAACATTTCTACCATTTCTGTCTATATTACTTCTTATGAATTATAATTCTAGATGTTTAGATGAAACAAAAATAATTTCCTATTTTGGTATATATACGAGAAGATACATCGAATACCATGAAAATCCTTTCAGCAGTAGATTTCTACAGAGTTAAATTTGTCATTGTTCTCGAAATAAGTTTTCTAATTTTTCATCATTGTAGAAATACTTTATTTTCGAAAAAAGCAATTACATATTATGATAATGCTTGGATTTTTCCATCATTCCATCAATTTGTTTATTGCTTTACATTTATTTATTGAAAAACAAAATTGGTGGAATATAAGAGAATCGACTCTCGATAGACAAGGGTCGAAATCAGCAATTTTTTTGCTTTCTCTCATTCACAATTAAAACGACAATAAATTTTTGCTAAGTGTTAGTAAATTTTCGTAGAACTTGAAATCCTCCATTCTCCTATATATGTATATAATGCTGCCCTGTCTTGTATTAATGAACTGTAACACATCAAGGTAACGCAATAGATAAACAAACGAAATAAAAGCAATTCTCAAGTATTAATTATGAGAAATCTTTTAAGAAAATTGTTTTACTATCAAAATGGATAAAATAAATATCTTATTCAGAAAATTTACACATATTTTTGATTTTTGTCTCATGAGTAGTATTTTATGAATTATTTAAGTCTCGATTAAAAATATTTTATTCGCTGAACTATCAAAATAAACTTCTTTATTTCAAAAGATTTAATTCATTGCCAGAAAGAATTTATGAGATATCTATGGTAATCAAACTTGAACAAAATAAGTGTAATTGTTAAGTGGTAAGCATAGAAGCCCATTTAAGATTGACATAATCTTGTTTCTCTACCTTTATAAAGCAATTCACATTATTTGTTTATAAATATTCATATGAATTCATTTTAGATCAAGATATTTACATAATAAATAACATAATTCGATTGATTTTCTTCGAAGAGAAATGGCAACAGGAAATAAATCAAATTTATGTTCAGTATGCAATAAACTACCAGGAATTCGCACTTGCAGTGGATGTAATAAATACTTTTGCCCAAAGGATTTAAGAGAACATGAAAAAGAATTAGCAATAAAATTCGATAATGAAATAGTTAGATCTCATGATGAACTTCTTGATCAAATACAAAAATTAGAAAAATCAAATTATTTGTCATTGGATCTTTTCGCTCAAATTGAACAATGGAAAAAGACAACAATCAACAAAGTTGAAAGAGCAGCAGAAAAGGCACATCATGAACTTACCGAGCTAATTGATAAAAAACGAGCAGCAATAACAAAACAACTTCAGTTAATTACAAAAGAAATTCGTTCACGTCGAGAAGAAGAAATTTTTGTTGAAAATGATATAGATCAACTTAAACAAGAAATTGAAAAAATTAAACAAAAACTTGAAATACTCATTCAAAAAGATACAACTCAAAGCATCATTGTTGAAAATAGTCAAATTGATTGGAATCGACTTATCTACGTTCGAGAAATTCAAGATGAACGTGATATCGAAGAACAACAGCAAGGTTTAAGAAAACAAATAAATTGTGAGTATTTTCAATCTAAGTTCGGGAAGAAAAAACAGATGAGACCATCTGTTTATGGCAAGCCATCCCCGCCCGCATCCTATTCAGTCTAACTAAACTTCAGAGAATAAGAAGAAGACTACCACGCCTTTCTACTATCTCAAGGTAAAGGGTGCTGTTCGAGAACAGTTAGCAGAGCCCGATATTGATGTGGGTGTGTGCCTTAAGGGAATATCCACACCCACACATCACCATAAATTGGCATGTAGTTGGCAGTTCTGCGCGCTTTTAACTAGATAAAGACAGTTCTCATTATTATTGATTTACATAAGAGCAAAATATTTCTCTTGATTTGAGTGTAAATGGAAGAATTTTACTAACAGAAACGACTTGCAAAAGCTAGATTCTATAACTCAGCTTGGCATTCAGGCGGTTAGAAAAGCCCACAATCATTATTTTGAAGTTGGCCATTTTTTTTTTACTTGGTTATGATTTCAAGTTCTACTATATAATGCTCTAGATCATTGTGCACATGGTTGCAAATGGCAGACATTACTACATTTATCGTGCATGATATCATCAAATTAGATGATGTTGCGCAAGACAAAAAGTAAAAGAAAACCGTAATATCGTAATATTACAGGGCACTAATGGTATTTTAGAAAAGAATCTACTTAGTTTTAAGAAATAACTTTATAACATCAGCTTCTTAAAATCACGAATATTTTTTTTTGACAAAACCAATAGAATATTCTATAGTTTCGAGATGTCCTGTACACAGAGTTTTTTGACCTGATTGTTTCACTAAACGATTCAGTATTAAAATCTCGACTAGAACTTGAAAAGTCTTATTTCTATAGAACAATAAGGAGATAAATTAAAAGAAAAATACTTAATACCAGGAAACGGGCTAACTTTCTAAACTGAACAACTATTTTATCCAGGTGCTTTCATGGAGTAGAATTAATCAACCCTCGACATTTGCATCTACTTGACACTATTTGAGAAATTTCCAGCCGTTCCAATCTGTAGTTCTAGAACTTCTGGCAAAGGGCTGATAATGGAGCCAAAATAGTATCTATTGAACTCGGATTTATTTCAAAATAGTGAAAAGTGATTCCTATACCATGTTCATCAAATGAAATTTTGCACTATGTTAGATTTTTCAATGTTCAACTAGATGTCGACGAACTCTTAACCGTATAACGAGCAGGAGAACATTTCAATAAACTTAAAAACATCTCTATATTCGTTTCGTTCCCTTTCGAATTGTTTGAAATTTTGCATATTTTTTTAAGAAAAAATAACCTAGATTATTTGCCTATTTCTACTAGTTAAGGGGGCCCCAATCAAGAAACTCGATTTTCGTGAAAAAAGTCACTTTTGAGGTAAATATGTGAACACATGATTTTTTGACCAAATCTTGGTAGGAATAAGATAGAGAGCTGCAGTTTTCATCGTTATAGACACGTGCTAAAAGGGCTTTACCAAAAAGTATAATATAACCAACAATCAAATCATTAGATATCAATTGTATGGGAGCAGAGAAAAGAGAAAATTTATGCATATACTTCATTTTACATATAATAGGTTAAGATTCTGAGGTTTCATCAATGTAAATTTTTATTTAAAATAGAATAGCATATTTCTTATGAGTTACTAATAAATACTGACCATCATTATCACTTTTTAAAAATGTTGCAGACATACAAGTTAATAAAAAAAATTAATTTGTTATTCTTCTGTCTGTATAACGTTGTTCAATGGTGTGACGAACATAAAGACGATTTTATGAGTGTCATCTATCATGATATGTTTCGTGTTAGGACAACTGAATGTACATTGATATGAGCTTTGATTGACATGTAATATATTTATGCTTTACCTCAGTTTTCAGTAATAATAGAAGGACTAAATTTTAAAAAAAGAAAACTTTGGCGGTTGTCTCAAAATTGATTTTTTCGGTACTAATCGAACTGCAGACAAATGTTATTTCCATATACTTCAAGTTAAAAAGTTGTATTGTTTTTTAATCAGTAGATACATACATAGTTCTTCAGGTGAGAGAAAGGAATTTTCTAATTAATCAGCAATACTAGAGAAACCTTATCCGAAGTAGTGAAGAGTTGTCTTTCAAATAAAACTAACCCAAACTCTGCAGCATGAAATATATTAGTGAAACATTTGTGGGTGTAAATGTGGATATCTCTTCAAACCTGAACCCACACCCTCAAGAGGAAATAGGCAAAAAAAAATGAAACATTTGTCCTTGATAGTGGAGAAGACATTTCTCATTATGTATATGTAGAAGGCGACACTATTCCAAAATCCATGTTCAATAAGTCAATCGAATGCATTTTTCAATTTTTCTCATTCTTTGTAACATATCGTGGAGGGAGGGGGGCGGATTTTTGATCAATTTAATTGAATTTCTATGGAAAACAATATAATTCAAAGAAATGAGAATGAAAATCAAAAAGTTGCACACTTCAACGCTGCGCATAAAATAAAGAAAAGAAAAACTAAGAGTTTCTCAACAACACAAACAAAATATCTTTCTTCGATGAGTCGATTTCTAAAATATCACTGATTCTTCTTCACTAAAGCTGAAAGATACTCAAAAGTAAAAAACAATCTAATTCGATTGGGTAGAAAAAGAAAAAGAAAACAAAGAAAATTGCAAAATACTAGAAAAACTAACTTTGTCTATGCATGAGAATATTTCTAATGTAAATAAACGATTAAAATAAGTAAAAAAAGAACATTATTGTATAA